AAAAAAATCCTCTGATCTATACTTAATAGGAATACAAATGCATCTCATCCCTTCATTTTAAAATGATCCATACCGTTCATTTAAAAAATATGTACTACTCCGTATCACCGATCTCTTTGCTTCTGTTGCTGCAAGTCTTTGCCATCTCTTTCTTCCGTCCCAGGGCCTCATGGAGAAGAAGATGAAGGGAAATGGCCCAGCGACAGCTTGAGGTCAATAAGTCTGAGGAGCAAGTGTTTTCCGGAATGGATATCACCGCCACAACATCCGTCGGCGCCTCCAAGACAATCGATTTTCTTTCAAATTCACATATCTTCCCCCATCCAGACCAATCTCCACAGCACCTAAATCTATTCGGAGGAAATCTCCCAACTTTGTGAATCCAAAGAAAAGGGACCAATTTCACACGAACGTGGTAAGTTTACAGATTCATTTTTAGCGTGAATTTCATTTTTAGTTTACTATCTTTGATTTAGTTTGATTAGAAATAGTATTTTTAATCAAACTATCTGATTGTTTTGTAGACTTTTTGCTTTAAGTCAATAACCTGCTTGGCTAAACAGATTCATCCCGCACCAGCTTAAATCAAAATCTTTGTTCTGTAATCTGTATGAAATATATTCAAAGTGGAATTAATGTTTCTTTTCAAGTAGATGGATATGAACTTTGCACTAGATCAAAATGTCATCTGCATCTTAAGGTTAAGGTTTTTCCTACAAGTTGGTAAAAATATAGGTTATGGATACTTTTCGGTCATGGCATCGATATTGTTAGCCGACCCCAAAATCTTTTGAAATTAAGGCTTGGATGTTGTTGTTGTGGCCTCATGGGGTTGCGATTTATCTGATTATTTTCGTGAGCTTTACTAAATGGGCATGACTTAATCCGAGTTTTCAAAATATGATCACATTTCTTCTTCCATACATGTAATGTACCATTTAAGAATGTCCAGGTGTTAAAAAACACACCATATTCCAGTCCTAAAATACGTCACTAGACTCGCTACCAAGGCAACAAGTTTGGTTTATATAGTTTTAATAGTAATGACTAATGACCACTCTCATTTTTGTGGCCTTCATATTTGATGGAATATCTCTTTATGAAGCTTCACCACAAATCCACATATTGTAGCAGTTGTTTTTAATTACTATTTATCAATAACTATGTTCTTCAATGCTTTATTTTCTTGATTTATCTCTATACAAAATAAAAAACATGCATTTTTTTAGATTCAAAACTCATGAGTTCAATGTGTAATGTCGTTTGTGAAGGAGCAGGGACAATGTGAAAATTGAAAAACAAACAGGGTATGCTTAGCAAACTAAATTTTGATGAAAAGTATGACTGTATATTTCCGCAAACCAAATATTACCAAGTTTGCTTTGGTAAAAAGTTGTTTTTATGAGGCTAGGTTCTTTATCCAAACATTCTTTCTTGAATGTTCTGCTTAGGTAACCAAGTGTATACACTGTAGTTCCATTCTTTTTAATTGGGTGAATGAATGTTATATCTGAAGAAGCAATTGGTAATGCAGCTCTGTTGTTTCAGCAGCTCCAAAAATTTCATCTAGACACGTCCCGGGGCATATATCAACAGCTCAAATTGTTAAGACGGGCAAGCCGCAAAATTAAGTGCCATGTGTTTCAAGTGAATCATTTATCAATGGTTTTGGAAAGAAAAGTGTGTTTTTATAGTATTGTCATTAGATTCCATTTTAGAATTCTTATTTCTGATTTTGAAATATGGAGTAAAACTTATTTCTGATTGGGAAAATGGAAACTAATAATCCAACATTTTAGCTGTCTTCTTTCAATAATCCCACCTTTTGATTATTCATGAATAATCCAACCTTTGCACCCCATCTTCATTCATTGGTCCCTGGTCGGTTAATGACCTACTATTCCAAGTTATTTTCTTATCTTTGCAAAATATTATCTTTGTGAAAGATGAGATTTATGGTATAATGATTTGCAAAGATAAGAAAATAGCTTGGAATAGCAGGTCATCAACCGGTCAGGGACCAGTGAATGAAGATGAGGTGCAAAGGTTGGATTATTCATGAATAACCAAAAGGTTGGATTATTGTAAGAAGACCGCTAAAAGGTTGGATTATTAGTTTCCATTTTCCCTATAAGTTCTTAGAGTGTTTACATTTTGTTGATACATCACGAACGAATTAGGTTTACACATTATTTACACATACCTTTTTGTATCTATCACCTTTCTAATCATGAGTCTTTTATCATGGATGGTTATTAACAACCAAGGAAAGGAAAAGGGAAGGTGAAGATATAAAAATGAATCAAAATGATATGCTATAAAAGATTGTTATTACTTCATACTTATAAAATACCAAGTACTGTTTATAAATTTTGTTTCTTAAATAGAAAATTGCTTCAAACTATTTAAATACCTTCTTTTTATCAATGATCCTTTACTTTGGAATTTGATTTGTTTTTATGTTTCTGATCTTGTGAATACGCTTTACAGTTATCCTTGGTTGATGCTCAAGATATTCCAAATGGATTTATAAACCGATCTGTCAAGTTTGTTTTCTTAAATGTTTCCCTTGCTCATCCACTTATGCAGGCTACAAGCTTCCAAGTTTCAATGAGATTTATTTACAGTTCATAATGTGGCATTTTGTTGCTAACTGGTGTGGACAGAGACTGATAATAATATAGTTTATCAAGTTTAACAGAGGAAGGGGATTGCATAGTTTATGTTGAATTTTTACCAATGAGGTGGAGTAACTTTCTTGGAAGTGGTGTTCTAAATTCACTTGCTTTGATACTACTCTTGTGTATTTTTCATCTATTTTTAAATCATTCGACTTTCGACATTAGAAATGAGAAATACACATTATAACAAATGGATAAGTTTCAACCGACCATACCTATCTGTTGTAATTCATAGACAAATTATCAATCTAGGACCTGAAAAATGAAATGTATCGATATAGAACTTTAATAATGGAAAAATATCAATTTAGGACCTAAGTTGTCATAAATTTTATTTTTATTTTTATTTCAATTTTTTTTAAATATTATTTAGTTTTATTAAACTAATAAACTTTTGTGAAGAAATTTTTATCAAAAATTAGCAATGGAATTAATAAAAAATAAAATAAATAAAAAACAATAAATGTTAGGTCTTAGATTGATAGTTTTCCATCATTCAGATCCTACACCGATACAATTTATCTTTCAGGTCCTGAATTAATAATTTATCTATCTTACAGGCCCTAAATTGATAAAATTCAAGTAAACAAAGTACAATACTTTATGGAATCCAAAAGTAGTTTCTACTGTAAACAAAAGGAATTTTATCAATTCAGGACCTGAAAGATAAATAAATTATCAATTCAGGTTATCTACTTACTAATAAGATGTCATGGGCCCGGCCCGGTCCCGGAACCAACCCGGGCCGGTACCGGGCTTAATGCCCAAAAATTGAACCGCCCAAGACCCGACCTGGACCTGATTCCGACCTGGGTCCGGTCCACCCCTAGGGGCAGCGGGTCGGCATTTTATCTCGTGATAATTTTAACTAAGCGAGTTACTCGGCAACCACCAAGTGCTATTTTGGATTATATTTCAAACATTTACACTAAAGAAAGATGTCATGAAACTTATAAATAATCAGTGGGTAATTTAAAAGTTGGAAAACAATACTTCCCCACGTCCCTCAAAATATGACCAAGTTTGACCTGCATGGATATAAATTAAAATGTGTGATTAAATGTCGTACATAAGAGAAATAATTAACATGAGCCACAAATTCATTAATAAAAAGATAAAGTTCCAACGTTGGTGGGACAATAAAAAAAAGTTGATAACATTTTCGGGTTAATTCCATCTTTGATAAATCTTCTAAAAAAAGTCTCACGTATCATTTGTTTCTTTTTCCTCCTCTTCTTTTCCATGTTCATGTAATCCATTTTTTCAACCACTACTAATATTTTTAAAATATACTCGAGTTATCTTATTTAATTATTATCTAAATAATTGTATCATTTTATAATGGGAACTTTAAAGCGGATCGTAGTCCATACATATTAATGGAAAAAATTATGTGATTGATGTTGAATTTAATGTAGGAATGGGTGTGAGATGCTTAACATCCCAAGTATCACATATGAAAAATTAGAGAAAACAGAGGGATGATGAAAAAAAATACAACAATAATTGATACTCCCTCCGTCCCAATATAAAGAGTACATTTGCATTTTCAAACATTTTTAGGAAGAACACTGTTTGACACTGTTTTGCTTTGTAAAAAGGGAAATGTGTCTTTTATATTGGGACGACCCGAAAAGGAAAATGTCTCTTTTATATTGGGACGAGGGGTATAAGTTTTTTTCATTAAATTAGTAATAAGTGAACATTTTCAGTCCAAGTAAAAACATCCTTAAACTTTCATTGCATGATGTTAGACATTTATTTGTTACCATTTATTTATTAGTCTAATATTACAATGATATCATATTTTAGGTTTAATTTAATATTTTCATTTATTGGTTCAATATCATTTTTTTTGTAGTTTTTATGTAATTGCATCTAAATAATTGTATAGGTATATACTTCACTCCCGTGCAACGCACGGGTAAGATAACTAGTTATATGTAAAAATATCTAAAATGGTCATCCCGACAAATTACACAGAAAAGTACAAATTGCATGTTTGGTGAAAAAGTTGACTGATAAGCCGAAAAACAGTGTTGTCAAACGCTCTCGTAATGTTCTAACTGTGTAAAATAAAGTTTGCATTAAAATTATTACAATTGATTTAGAAAGAAATGGCCTTTTAACTATTTAATTAATTGTGACAGAGATTAAGTTAGAAGTGCAACCTAACAACTTGAATGAAAATTAATTCAGATAAAAGTATGAAATGAAAATACTCTGAAGGACCCGAAAGCAACCGGATCCAAACAAGAGTTTGTGGTTCGAAGAATAAATAAGGGAAATACATGGTCCGTGTCTGTTTTTAACAGGGGTGATGAATCTGGGTTTGTTCTTTCCGACCCACCCGACTGTGGGTGTATTTACCGAACTACCCCTTCACTTTATAGAACGGACGGTATTTTATCTGACGGGAAAGAGCATGAACAGAACAGAAGTAACAGACGGTAAGAGCGGAAGCACAGTGAGAAAGTGAAATCCGAAATATCCACAAGAAATTGAAGAAGAATAGGCTTAATGCTCTGCCTTGTTCGCTCTTTGCTGCGGATCCTGTAAACCCTAATATTGGGTTGTACTAACGATCTCTAAATATTGATTCACTGGAAATATCTGTAGTTAGTTTGATTGGTGATTTGGTGAACCATGGCATATGTAAAGGTTGTCAACAGATCGGCTACGGCTGCATTCGCTCCGGAAGGTACGTATGTGGCTGCTGGGACGATGGCTGGGGCGGTGGATCTGTCGTTCAGCTCGTCGGCCAACCTCGACATTTTCAAGCTCGACTTCGGATCAGATGATCAGCAGCTCATCTCAGTTGGCTCGGTTTCCAGCTCCGAGCGCTTCAATCGTTTGTCTTGGGGGAAGGCTCTTCCCAATTCCGAGGAGTTCTCTCTCGGGATCATCGCTGGTGGACTTGTTGATGGCAACATTGGGCTGTGGAATCCGAGGAATATGCTCTCGTAATGTCCAACACATCTTTGCCTGTTTTAAATTAGTCTCTTCGAGATATGAGCCGTTTAATTTCGTGTTACTGGCTATTGTTTTATTGAATTTGGTTACTTTGTTTATCATGGTTTGCTAAACATTAGCCATTGATTGAAAATGACTGCCATTTTTAATTGAACCTTTTTAGAGGAGCTGGAGAATGTCTATCATCTCATTCTGTTTGAATCCAAACGCTTTTTATCAATTGTAACTGTCAGTTCCTTTCATATTTTAGTTTCAGAAAAATGTGCATTTTAAGGCTTTGGAATGAAATTGGTTCATTTAAACTTCAGAATGTTGGGGGCTTCTTTTCAAAATCACTTCTAGTAATTTTTCTTGTGCTATGTAATCACAGAAAAATAACTGTTTCTTGACATCATGGGATCACGTTAAAAATTCATTACCCTATAAAGAATTGTTTCATGACATTATTGGATAAAATGGTCTCCATATTTGAAATTAAAAAACACAGAGTAGTTCCTTGCAGTTGAAATGAACCATAGACAATATTTTAGTTATTTTTGTATCAGAATATGAAAATTAGAGCAAGTTAGCTAATAATTGATTTTACGTCTATAACACTAGATTTATCATTTTTGATTGATTTATCATTCCCATGCATTATTGTCTTCTTGGTCACTATGGGTCATCTGGAAACAGTCTCTGTATTTAAATACAGAGGCAAGGTTGCGTACATCCGACCCCCTTATTGTCTTCTTCCAAAAATATCTGTTTTTCTAATATCCACTATCCATGATGTTATTAAATTTTGTTTGTCTTCCCACACTAGCTCCGGTGCGAATCATACGGGTGGTGCTGATGCTACTGCAAATGCTTTTATTGGTCCTCACCTTTCAAAGCATAGTGGGCCAGTATGTATCTAACCTGTGTATGTTGTACAGTTGTTGCCCTTCGTCATTCCCTTTTGTGGGGAACCTGATGATATCATATATTTCTCTCGTTTTTAAATGTTTCAGGTACATGGTTTGGAGTTTAATTCTTTTACTCCAAACCTCCTTGCTTCTGGTGCTGATGAAGGTGAAATCTGCATATGGGACATTTCACATCCCGCTGAACCAACCCATTTTCCTCCTCTGAAGGTCTGTATTATCTAACACTAAAAAAGAAATTGTGTGCATATATAGTTTTGACTTTGTCCAGAAGTATTATATCTCCCCTTGTTTTAATTTTCCGAAGTTAAAAATAAGAAATAGAGGAATCAATTGCTCCTAAATACTTTCTCATCATAATCTAGGATGCATGATAGGGACCCGGCTGCTAGTCTAAATAAAGGGGATAGATTTGGGCAAGTGTATTCTAGAAGACCTAAATAGACTAGCTTTGTTATTAGTTAAGTCGTTAATAACTAATAACAACCTTCTATTTGTGGAGGGATATAAATAGAAGTATTCCTGCAGCAGGAAAGGCAGGTTGTTAGACGGTTAGTCTGGGATTGGGAAGTTAGAATATTATCTCCTTCTTGGGACTCATTGTACTGTTGCTTTTTCTGAATAAAGTTGTTGATTGATTTCCGGAGTTGAATACCTATTGTTTAGTCTGAATTCTTATCAAATTGTTGTTAGAATCTGTGTTACCTATCAATGCATAATTAAACTGTGATCCAATATGTTTTTTTTCACTGGAAAATTTCTATTGAATGATTTGAGGAAATGGTATAATAAGCTCACTCAGTCCATTACTAATCTTGAATTCTTAATTGGCACCTCAACAACAAAATCTCAATTAGTCATCTGAATACCAGAGTGTGTAAAACCATGTTTCCCAGTTTCCTGGCCTTACATCTAAGTGCACAAATCCTAATCATTTGTTGTCACACCCCTCACACATTGCAATCATATAAATAGGGAAGTCTGCTGAAATTGAAAGAACTGAAGCACAAATTTTGCAATAAATATCAACCAAAAAGCAAACAGTTGAAGCATCCGTAAATAAATGCAAATAAAATATCAAAAACTACTGAAATCCCGGGTTTCCATGGTAAAGAACATTTAAGAAAATTGATACTTGAAATCTGGATACAAGTGAGTGGATGAATTGAAGAAGCTAAAACACCTTGAATTGCACTACAGGGCAAGAGTGTATGCAACCTGTTTCTTTTGAACAAAATTTATGGTCTTTGTTGAGATATACATAAATGTTTAGGGATTGGGTAACAAGGGAACCAGAAACTAATGATTCAAAGTCAAGGCCAATAGCATTTCGTAATGATGATAGTATCATACAATCAAGAGCATCTGATAGATATTAAATTGTGGTAGTGGCCGTAGTGCACATAGAGAGCAGAAATAAAACTTTCTGGCAGATATAAAGGAGAGCACATCCTTAACGTAATCATCTGACATTGAACAAGGTGGTTCTTGGTTCTATTAGAGTTAAGTCTACTTACTTTTTCCCTGAACAAATGTGAGGATCTTTGTTTGAATTCACACATTTTTTGGGATTGCGTGCGAGGAAAGGAGAGTACGAGACCTGAAGTTAACAATTCAATGTGAAGGCAGTTACATTTGGGATGATGGTGCAGTAAGATAACAGAAATAACATTGGCCTATAAAATGTGTGATAGTTTTGCACAAACTCTTGAAGTTTTGGCTGTGAGGAGTATCAACCGTAGTGGAAGTAACTCAAATATTGATAATATGTGCTATTTAACAAACAGAGTATATAGCCACAATGGAGACACAAGAAGTCTCAACTTTCAGTACCAATCAAAAACCAATAAATATAAATACATATATATGTATATATGCATACATGTGTGTAGATTTTGGATCAAGTGAATACATCTAATGTGAGAAATGAGAATGAATCTCAGCCGTTAGATTTATAGTGTTGCACTAAAAATAGTTTAATGTTGCGGTAGGATTTAAATTTTATAAGGATACACTCAAATTGTTTCACGTTACACTAAAATTTGACGATGTTGTACCAAAAGAGTTTCATGTTGCCCTAGACAAAAATTTAATATGGGTTTTCAAAAGTATTTACGAAAATGTCATCGTGCTAGGTTGCACATTTCACTACAACATGAAGTTATTTTTACTGCAACACAGTCAATCAAACAACTGAGATTCGTTCTTATTTCTCACACTAGTTTTGCAACGCGCGATGCGCGTGCGTGTCAATGCCCAAGACCATTGCACGCATACTAATTCAACAGGTCCAACCACTGCAGCCAAATAACTCTTGCAAGATGGGCTCTGAGAGTCAACATGTGTAAGAGTGTTGTTAATGGCGGATTGAGGGCCGAAATTCTGACAAGGTACCACTGTTCTTAAAAATAGCTATGAGAGTTGGCACAAAGTCTCCCCGTCGTTCCTCCATGCCTGCCATTTGTCAAAAATGGAATGTACAAGACACGAACCATTTTTAGCATATTTTTTAACCATATATTATTTGAGGTTTAGGTGAAGAGTGTACAACGTACCATAAGTCCATAAGGAAGCAACAAAACATAATCAGAAACGAACAAGGCCGGGCGGGTACCAGTAGATGACGTTTCTCCAACGCTAAAGGCAACTATTTTAAAAGCTTTCATAAATTTAATTACAAAGATAAAGTTAATTGTTGAAATTCAAACAGCTATGATGTATTCGATCAAAACTATAATAAACCATTCCAGTTGTGAAAAAGAAGCTCAAAAGAAACAATTATTAAAATGCAATCATGCATCTGATCACTCGATTCTCCCCTTAACTGTAGTCGGAGCAGCTTCAACCGAAGCTGCTAGGATGAACTTCTGTGTTCCAATTTCTGTGAAGAACTATTCTGAAATCAATCAATCAAAATATAGTGAAGGTCGGAATACTTAAAAGTTCCCTCTGAATTTAACCATTCAACAAACTACTTGTGGGAATCCCCCCCCCACCCACCCACCCTTGGATACCAAAGTTAATAGAAACAACAAATGTCAAAGTAGTTATATGGGAAGTTAAGGTCAACCGTGAAAGTGGATGATAGACCTCAAGAAGAGCTTCCACATTTTTACTTTCGACATGATTTAAGATGAACTAAAGCAAATCCTAATTTTTTAAGTGAACATAGGTAGTCATCAATTGAAATGTATTATTAACTTGGTTTATGATCAGTGCTGGCGGGCTGTATCACAATGTTATGCCAAAAATCCTAACGACATGGTTTTATATGCACATCGGCCACGAAACCTTTATCCCGAGGAGAACAAAGAACCATTAAAACAATGGGGTACGGGACAATTCAACTATGTCAACAAAAATATTTAAATAACACATCACATCAGCTTTGTATGTCATGCAGTTTCTAATAACACACTCAAGATCAACACCTGATTGGAGTGCATACAAAACTAAAGTTAACCTGAGTTCCCTTCCCTTTCATAGTCGTGTGGTCATAATAGAAAATCACATTGTTAGTTGTTAAAATAAAAACTAAGATAATCTTGAAGTGAGCTTGTAAAAATGGAGACAAGTCTAAGGACATCTGTGTGAGTAACAATATATCCTCAAATAAATAAGGATCCAGAGTTTCGGTCAATATCTATTGAAATTCTATCTCAAAACTCAAGACTGGCATAGCCATTTTTAGCCTAACGATAATTAAAATCCCGAAACCAGAACTTCAATAATTAAAAATTGATATGTGGGGAAAATTTGTTGATAAGCATGATTAAAACAGCCAATTTCAATTTAAGACCGAACTTTAATGGGATTTTAAAAACAACGAAGATGCTTATATAGTTAGATGCAGGATTAACTTAGCCATTTTCAATTTAGGAATAAACTTGAATCAGATTCATACATTAAGGGTATGTTTGGGTCCCTTCAAATGCTAGGTGATGGATATTATTATCCCAATACAAGAACCAATCCGTCATATAGAATAGTTCAGGCAGGTTGAGGAGAAGAGTTCAGTCAATTGGACACTTCAGTGCGTTAATTCCATATTTAGTAAAAATATTAGCTGATAATTAAGGGTGATAAGGCTAATAAGTAAAAAATGGGGTAATCAAATGGGCTCTAGATATATTACTGTTTACAAGAAGAAAGAAATAGTCAAATATAAGGATAAATTGAAATGAACACCGTTGGGCTAGCTAGCAGAGAAATCCCTGATTCTACAATTGTTGAGCATCCTTTATCACAGTACCCTACAGATGACAAGTAAACATTGGTAAGCTAAGGATTATAGCACACTTATCGATGATCGATCACATCCTACAATTGGAATGAAAAAAAGACAGGAGTAAATGAAAAGAAAGGGCATATACACAAGTGGTTTTACCACCGGTTAGTATAACTAAACTTAGAATAAAATCAACTTGGTTACTTGGAATAATTAAAATCAATATTTCGACCAAGTTTTTATTAAGATGGAATGTTAATTGTTAATAATTGTCATGTTCCAAATAAAAATCCAATGAGAAGCGTTAAGGTTTAGAGTATGATTAGATTCCTTTCAAAATTGTGATTCTAAAGTATCCATTTTCTTATGTGATTTCAAAAGTAAATCAAATCAACCCTAAGCCTGACAAGTGAAGAAAATAATGTAAATTCAATCTCAAATTAATCTCAAAATCAGACAGATGAAGTCAATTTAGATCGACAAATTAATTAAAAATCATACAGGTTAAACTTTTACCTTAATAAATAATGGCACACATGAATGGAAGTTCAAAGGGAAGAAATGAGGATGGAGAAAATAGAGCTTTGAGCTCCAACGCTGAGAGGATGACTACGTTTGGTAGGGCGTTATGGCGGATTTCAGGGAGAGACTATAAGGAATCAACCGAAGCAGAGACTGCACGAGCAGTATCGGCAAAATAGAAGAAGAGGGAGGGCCGAGCAGAATCAGGACGAGAGTAAATGAGTAATCGAAGGTTTAAGTGCTGAATACTGTATTTATTACCCCGTAATTCCAAACTTGAGAGGTTGCAGAAGACACTCTAGGGGTTTAACGGCAAAGCTTGCCTCCGTCAACTTTTACACTGCATAACTATACAAGCTTGGAATAAATATGCATCGAGTACCATCCGCCAATGCACAAAGAGACACCAACATTTTTCTCAAGACCATTATGCCCCTAACAATATTCATGCTTATACAATTGTAGAGATAGAGGCTTCTTTTTATCGGAACCTCACCCTATGTATGTATATATAGATATTTATAATGAGCATTGTGTTCTCTAATAAGTTTTTCTCTTATACTTTTCATCCTCTCATGTACTTTTGAGGTAAGGTTTGAAGTCCCCCTTGTAATTTTTTATGGTTCAATAATATTTGATAAATGATGCCCAACATGGACCTCACTTATTCTGTGGCTTACCTTCTGGGTTTACACACTAACACACACAAACACACACAGTTACATACATATCTAGTTATCTACAATATGTACAATATAAGGAAGTTTGCTCTTACCCGTGAAGTTAGGTCATAGCTACTAGTTCAAACTTGCATGTTCAAAAGTTAATTACTCACCCATATGGTTTTGATTATTCTCACTGTTTATCTTTCTTGTTAGTATTTATCTCAATTAACCGTCATTAACAGTTGTCAAATATAATGAAGGATGTCTAAAATATCCGCTCTTAAAAGTCAAATTCGACATCATAATTATAAGCCACAATTACTTGTTCATTATTTTTCCTTTGGTACTTGTGAAAAATGTACTGAGAGTAGCTAATGCTTGAAGGGGAGCCTTGGCGCACCGGTTACGGTGTTGGTGTGTGATTGAGAGGTCATACGTTCAAATTATGGGAGCGGCCTCTTGTCAAAATGACAAGAAAAAGCTTGCTCCTTATATACTCTAGTGGGACCCTTCTCTGGACCCTCACCTTGCAGGGACGCCAATGTGCACCGGGCTGACCTTGTGAGAGTAGCTAATGCAAAAAAATTACGAGTAACAATCCTGAGTTATATTGATGAAAAAATTATGAGTAACAATCCTGAGTAATCCTGAATTTTGAGAATACATACTCTGGGTAACTTTCGTTATCAAATAATGTTCATTGTGTGTTGGTTTATATAAAATTTAAATATAACTAATGTTACCTTAGCTACTCTCAACAGCATATATACTGCAAGTAGCAAAGAAGAAACAATAACGAGCGACAACCATGAGTTATGATCATGATGATGAATTGTTTTAACATTTAAGAGTAACTCATTTAGACAAATGTCATCATATTTGACGTTATATAAATTTAAATAAGAATATAAGATAAAATTTGACGGGAGTAGTGAACAAGGGGTTAACAATGAATATAGTCGAGGGGTGATAGTAGTTTTGTCTACAATATATACACAATACATATATAGATACACACACACTTCCTCTATCCCTGTAAAGAATTTTATGTATTCCTTTTTGGGACGTCCCTAAATAAACTCATATTTCTTATTTAGTAAAGAAACTCTTATCGATTTACTCTATTACCCCCTCAAGTAATAATAACTTACCAATGACAAAAAGTTTTAAACAATGTTAAGGAGTTTACTCTAGAGTAATATTTACCATTGTTCAAAAGTTTTTGCTCATTGATATTAACTATTAGTTTCGCCCGTTAGATCATAAATTTGTTCAATGATGAACCCTATAAACACGTTTTTTACTTCTAATACTTATCTAACGGTTAAGACTATTTCATCATAAAAAGTGGAATAAACTTGTCAAAATTTAATTTTTCTAATGACCCAATGGTTGAAACTAACATCTAATGCTAACCACTAAAAAACATGGACCATTCAACTCAATTTTAGCTCAAAATTAAGTTGGAAAGATGGGATTTCCGTCAGTCCGGATTGATGAGATCGTTTCTCTCTCTATATATATAGACAATGCAAAACAAGTGTCAATATGTAATTGCTAATATGGGTTTCGCTATTAGGGTTTTCAATATATTGCTTCTGTTTGACTACTCCTGATTTTGGATTACCTTCTAGGATTACACTTCATTCCTTAGTTTGGTATCAAAACCAAATAAGCTTAAATGAGCAGTCGATCTGATTAAGTGTCAAAAAGAGCACATGAGTTTCAAGTTTGTATGCTCCAATGAGCCACAATCTTGTACTGCATGTAAGTCATCCCACACAAGTCATGTTCTTGGGCTACTCCCCCTGTGATAGCGTCTTTTAATAATGATACCTATGTTTTAATAGCTTCTCTGCCAATTAGGCTGTAAATGAAATAAACAGCTGAACGTGTACCACCCCCTGGTATATTAGGAAAGCAAAGGTGCTCTATTTACGTGCCATGCCATTAAATATAAGTTATAAACATCAATGACTATATAGTTTTGTTGGTTCATGATGAGCACTCGTGAACGATACCTACAAGTGTGCTATGCATTTTGTGCAATAGCTTTTTTGAAATGTTATGAAAGTAGAATTGCTAGATTGGATGCTCGAAAAGTTAGATGGGCTGTTTTGAAACAAAAGTCAAAATACAATGGCTAAATTGATTGCTTAAAACTGTAGATAGTAATGCTGAAAAATTGCCAAATTGAATATCTAAATATGGATTTTCACACTTCTAAAGATGTATATGCTTATCCTTCCATGTGTATGTTCATGTTAATAGGATGCTGAAATGTTGTGTAGGGTAGTGGTTCATCAACTCAAGGGGAAATTTCATATATATCCTGGAACAACAAAGTTCAACATGTATTGGCTTCCACATCATTAAATGGGACAACAGGTGAATAAACAGTATTAGTTAAGTTAAACTATTTGTAGGCCAAGGCTGGAATAATGTGCCTCTGATGTTTTTTCTTGTCTCTTTTTTCCAGTGGTTTGGGATCTTAGGAAGCAGAAGCCAGTCATAAGGCTAGAACTTCATCCTTAGACCAGAAACTTGTATATATAATTATGTATACAGTTCTTTTATCACAGTGTATGACATGAGCTAGTGGGAATGGTGCAGTTTTGCGGATTCTGTTAGAAGACGGTGCTCTGTTTTGCAGTGGCATCCTGATTTTACTACTCAGCTTATTGTAGCCTCTGACGAAGATAGTTCTCCTTCTCTGAGGGTAATATAAGTTTTCCTCTGCTCTGTTAAAACAAAAGTCTTGACTGTTTTAAATTTTAATCTCCATTATGTGATAAATTGTGCAGATGTGGGATATGAGGAATGTTATGTCTCCAGTGAAAGAGTTTTTAGGACATACCAAGGGTATGCATGCGTACCCGCTTCTGTTTTGCTTTTGAATTAATTGTTTGCAAGTGATTGAAGAGATGAAAAAAGGGACTGACAAAAATGGATATGTTGAAGACATTTAAAGCATCCAGACGTTTTTTCAATATATGTTATGAAGTGGAGGAACCTCCAAGTACAACTTGATAATCCAATATTAATGCCTCATAATCAAAGGCTATGGCTGGCTAGATTAGCAGATTTTATAATTTTCTCAATAACTAAAACACTAGAAGATAGGGAAATCTGGAAAAATTCATACGAGGCGGGACAGTGCATATCATGTAGCACTTATCCAGAACATGCTCCAGGAAGTTCTCTCTTCTCTTTTCCCTCTAGAATGTGGCCTGCTACCAGCCAGCCTCCTATGTTTCTTGGTTTGCCAGTTTCTGATGTAGCCTATATGGTGGTGTTTTTCTATTATTAATCTTAAACATATCCCAGAAAGTTATTTGTTGGACCTAAATGAATGTCAGGTAAATTCTCAATGGTGTTATCTTACAGTTCTCTTAAGAACAGAAAACAATTTATGTGCTAAATTTTAATTTCCTAAATGGCTAAATTAACAGCTTCATCCCTCTGTTGGTTTCTTTTAACTATAATTTTTTTTTAGTTTCCGCTATATTGATTTTACCGCTTAACCAAATTGTATTTTATCAGGTGTCATTGCAATGTCTTGGTGTCCAATGGATAGCTCCTATTTGCTTACTTGTGCAAAAGACAATCGCACTATATGCTGGGATGTTCTTTCGGGTGAGGTGGGTAAATTATATATTCTGCAGGGCACACATTGTGATTCTCTTTTTATGGGGGCATCCCATTACAAGCACTTATATCTTCTAAGCTACTTTTGATGCCATTTTTAGTCAAAAGAAGTCAATTGAGAATTTTATGTAGGTTAAAGGAAAGTTGCTTTAAATTGTATGTGCAGATTGTGTCTGAACTGCCAGCAGGAACTAATTGGAATTTTGATGTGCACTGGTACTCAAAGTGTCCAGGTCTTATATTAGCATCATCATTTGATGGAAAGATGGGGATGTATAATATTGAGGTATATGTTACATGCACTTGGTAGTAATCATTTTTTTTAACTCAGCCACTTCTGAAACTAAGGTGAAACTACAAGTAATATCTGCAATTTCATTTTTCTAACAAGGGAATTACCACAGTTCATTTTTGCAGGGCTGTGGTGTCTGATTTATTTGTTAATGAGACATGTAACCCATTTTAGTTTTGTAGGGTTGTGGTCGATATGTTGCCCCAGAGGGTTCCTCTACTGCAGGTATTATTATTTAGATATCTTATGACAATTAGCTAGTGCCATTTAGCATTACTCTGGACAGTTCTGTGCTTAGAAATGACTAAAGCAATATTTCTTCTTGGTAGACCTAGTGCTAAACAAAAAATCTGCATCTTTGTCCTGATGTCAGTGCACTGCTCGAATTCAACTTCGCTAAATCATTTCATATTCCAGATAGATCTTTAGTTTAGTGCTGGTAAGTGTTTTTGGTTTAAAAGTATAAAGCTTGGATGGAGAGCATGTGCTTTCTAGAATATGTTCTTGTAACACTACAGGAAATTCCAAAAATACTAGCCATTCTAATAAAATCTCTCTAGCCAAGAAGTCTGTGTGCTTGCTATAACATTTTGAGCTCTTTCTACAAAAGTGGTCTTTTTGGAATTCAAAATCCAGAAGTCTTTACCAGATCAGAATGCCTCCCCAATGTAACAACAGATTTAGAACTGATTCTTTCTGGATGCTACAGTTTTAACTGCTATCATCTCTGAATTCTTTCTAGCAAAGAACAACATTATAAGGGGTTAGTCACTTAGTTGGCACTGATATCTAATTCAATAATAATTCTTCTTGAGTACCACCCATGATGGAAGATGTGCTATCATAGTATCATGACAGAGAACTAATGAAAAATGCTGCAATATAACATATTATCATCCTTTTAATCTCGAGATCATAATAGTTTAGTATCACATCTAATCTAATGTAAGGTATGTATCATTATTTTACTATTAGTAACTATATAAGGTTCTATTGAGACGAATCACATGCAAAATCAGAAAGGGCATGTACCCTTCTCGGTTTAAGTGCATTGTTCATATCTGGTTAATCACGAATGTTAAAAAAGGCCGTCGTTCTTTTTACTGTATGAGTAAGCCCAAAATTAGGTCAGGTTATGCAGCCTGTTTCTAAAAACTCGTGCTGTATTTTTATTTCTTCTTTTTTTTTCTGCCAAAAACCGAAATTCCAACCATTCAAAGTCCAGAAAAAGTTTTTTCCCTTTAATTTCCTACTCCACAAACTAGACAATTCTCTTGACCTATCTCTTTCAGGCCTTCCTCTCTTCCACGTTTCTTCTGTGATTTTTCTCGTCTTGCTTCCTCTCGTCTTCTCTTCTCATCCTCTGCAGTCCAAGCGTGTATATGGATTGGGGGTGGCAGTGAGCACCGGTGGGAGTATCAGGTGTATGAAATGAGTTGTTCACTTGTTTGGTGGGGACGTGGAACATCTTCGGGTTTGATATCTGGTTGTGGTTGCAGACACCAGGATAAGGTTTTTCACTGTGTATCGAGTATGCACATATACCAGATTACATCAACTGTGCTGAAGAAATACTATAACTCATATACAGATCATGCCAACTGATAACTCATGATTCAAAACACAGATGTCCATCAACTGTCCTCGCAATGGATAGTGGAATACACTTAAGATGATGCATATTATATTCTAGAATATCTCTTGATATCCTAAGGTGACTCTTGGGAATGAAAGTGCAGGGGAAATCCTTTTGGGATGAATTATGAAAGCTAGAAAAGTGTAAACTTTTAGATACTTTACTCCAAGGTGCTTGACTTTTTGTCATTTTTGAAAGTTACTTTGTGCCCTTCTTTTATCCTGTTGTCAGTCTTATGTACACCCTCCATGCACATTTTTGGATTTAACATTGTTCAATAATTTTCACTCCTTCCGAGGTATTTTCTCCCTGAACCTATATTTGGTTGTTTCTGAATGTGCTCTGGCACAGTTTATTTAAGAGCTCCAAGATGGTACAGACGTAAAGCTGGAGTTTCTTTTGGTTTTGGAGGAAAGCTTGTCTCCTTTCATTCGACTAACACTAAAGATGAACCATCAGAGGTATGCTGAGCAGGTTTATTATTAATATATTCTCATTATCTGGCTTTATAATGTATACAACTTTCTTTTCCAGGTATATGTGCAAAAGGTAGACACCGAACATGGGTTGGCAAGTCGGTCTTCTGTCTTTGAAGCTGCACTTCAGAATGGGGAGAGATCTTCACTTAGGCTTCTGTGCGAAACAAAATCTCAGGAATCAGAGTATGGAATTTTAACATTGACTAATTGAGTGAGGATTTCATACTCTTAAATCTTGATGTGACCACAATTTGGCTCAAGAAGCTATTGACTGTTGGAATTGTAATTGGGCCATCGAGAGCTCAGTTCCAGTTGGTAATTGGGGTTGTATGACTAAACGTCCTGGTGCAGGAAACATTATTTTAATGGACTGCAGCTGGTTGTTTATGTTCCACACCATAACAGTGTGAAAAAACTTGCACGAATATATTACAATACCACTATGACTTTTATAATACCACTTTCCCAATATTATTAATATTTAGAAAGGCATTTAGGCCCTGAATTTCCACTTAAACAGAGAATCAAAGTTGCTAGTTCTGGACGCAACTGAATTGGGCATGAACCATGGTCATCCACAGTTATGTCCTGTTTTAAAATGTCGCTCCATTCTTTTTTCTAAACAGATCTCTCGATGAAAGAGAAACATGGGGCTTCCTGAGGGTTATGTTTGAAGATGATGGGACTGCAAGGACAAAACTGCTTTCACACCTTGGTTTCAGCGTGCCTGTGGAAAAAGAGAACAATGTGGAGAATGAGATCTCTGAGCAAGTATCTGCGTTTGGTTTTGGTGAAGGTCTTGCTGGTAAAGAGGGGGATAATGTGAAGAAAGATACCATGATGCAACTTATCGACAATGGGGAGGATTTCTTTAACAACCTTCCAAGTCCCAGAGTGGATACTCCATCATCATCTGCAAATAACTTTGATACTAATGAAGCTGCTTTGGGCTGGGATGAGGCTCCAGATATTAATGGATCAGATCACAGTGACACATCATTTGATGATGCTGTTCAGCGTGTCTTGGTTGTTGGGGACTATAAGGCTGCTGTCTCACTGTGCATATCTGCTAATAAAATGGCTGATGCATTAGTTATTGCGCATGTTGGCGGCACTTCCCTATGGGAAAATACTCGTGATAAGTACCTGAAGACAAGCCGTTCTTCTTACCTGAAGGTAGTAAATTTATTGGATTCTCATGAGGTCGTGTGGCTTATGCCACACTGAGACTTATTATTGATTGTCTCTAACATCTTTAAATGGCAGATCGTTACTGCAATGGTTAACAATGATCTCAAAAGCCTTGTGAACACCAGGCCATTGAAATCCTGGAAAGAAACACTTGTCCTCCTTTGCACTGTAAGCCTTTACTCCCTCCCAAAGCAAAATAAGCAAACTCTTAGTGCACACTAAGTACGAATAGACATGATTCAGGACTGCAATGGTCATGATTGGGGATGAATTATTTTGTATACTTTTATTGTGACCTTTATGTACTGACTATTTCATACATAATCGATGCTATACAGTTTGCTCAGCAAGATGAATGGACTTTTTTGTGTGACACACTTGCTTCAAGACTCCTTGCTGCTGGTGAAACACTTCCAGCAACCCTTTGTTATATATGTGCTGGGAATATTGACAAAACAATCGAGATATGGTCAAGAACTCTGGCAGACAAGAACGATCAGAAATCATACGTTGACCTTCTTCAGGTAACTACTGCAAAGATCATTGAAATATGATTTTTATTTCCTGATTATGTGCAATTTTTTTTGGGCAGGATTTGATGGAAAAGACTATAGTATTTGCTTTGGCCACTGGGCAGAAGCGGTTTAGTGCTACTCTGTACAAGCTTGTTGAGAAGTATGTTGAAATATTAACAAGTCAGGGTCTTCTAGCTACAGCTATGGAGTTCTTAAAACTTCTGGGGACTGAAGAACTGTCCCCAGAACTGGTAATATTACGAGAGCGAATCTCTCTTGCTACTGAACCAGGTTTAAAGCTTATTTGAATACTTTGTAATTTTCCATCATAACTTCAAGTTATTTTCTGAAATTACATTTGCATGATATATATCCTACCTCTGTTTATTTGACTACCTGCAATTTAGAGGTACAAATAGCATATTCCCTAATTCTTTTTTTTCCTGCAGATAATGGCTCATTGAATTCTATGGATTTTGGTAGTTCTGGCATGGTTGATCCGTCTTACCAGTATTACCCAGTAAGAGATATTGTCATGCTGTGGTGGCTCATTCCTTGATATCATGTCATGATTACTTCCACTAATGCATTCTCTTCCTGATCAGGAACCACCATCGCAACACACAAGTATTCCTAGCAGCCCTTATGCTGGGAGTTATCAACCCACTCCTGGTCCTTCATACAAGGGATATGTTGCTCCTGCCCCTTACCAAAATGCTCCACCACAAACAATCCAACAACCGAACATATTTGTTCCGACACCTGCTCCTCACATCCCACAGGTGTTTATAACATTATGGACTTATGGCCCAATTTGTGGACAGCTTATTGCATGATTTGAAAATAATTATTTGTGAATAAGCAAACCATAGAGAGGTGGGGAGAAGAGGCGGGAAGGAAGAGAGGAAGACCCAAACAGACTTGGATTAGAGGAATTCAAACTTATATGCTTCTTCTTGGGTTGGATGAGAGTATGGCTTTGGAGAAAGCAAAGTGGAGTGCGCATATTTGTGTGGACGATTGATCTCTCTTCTCTCTCCCCCCCCCCCCCCCTTTTATCTTCTTTATCTTTCTATGTTCTTATGTTATTGTTATCCTTTATCTTTCTTATGTTCTTTTTATCTTTTCATCTTTTATCTTTCTTATGTTCTTATGTTATTTTTATCTTATATTTATCTTTATTTTATCCATTTTTATCTTACTTTATCTTATTATTTATCTTATTATTTATCTTATCTTTCTTCTCTTTTTGGCTCTGATATCATGGATTGATTCATGTTAGCCGATCCCAAAATCTTTTCGGAATATGGCGTGGATGTTGTTCTAAGCATTCTTAAGTGAAAGCTGCTCTGAAGAGACATGAAAAAAAAACTTTTAGAATCCACCGGAGATTTGAAGAGACAAATAAGAATCAGAATAGATGTATGTAGAAATAGAAGTGCGGAAATACGCTATTCAAAGGGGTGTATTGGTGCACTGAGTCCATTTTTATCATAACTTTTTCCCAAGAGTTGTTAAATTTCATTTTCTTGTTTGCATTTTTGCATGACTTCCCTTGTGTTATTCTTACATTTGAATGAAAGTAAAGTTTATACTTTTTTACTTTCAGGGCAGTGTTGCACCACCACCTGTTTATGCTCAGCCTTCTGTGAAACCATTCAGCCCAACAACCCCCCCTGCTTTGAAACATGTTGAGCAATATCAGCAGCCAACTTTGGGTTCCCAGTTGTATCCTGTATAAATTGATGCCCTATTTTGTTAAATCATTATTCACTGGAATTTATTTTTTCAAAATTATAAGATGTTAAACATGATTTCTGTTCTGTAAGACGCTTTCTTTGCATGTGGTTTCAGGGCTCGGGTCAAAGTAGTTACCCATCTGGCCCTCCAGGGCCTGCGGCATATGGCTTTAACCCATCTCCAGCACAAACTTTTGGACAGAAGATGCCCCCGGTCATTGCACCTTCTTCCTCAAGCTCTAGAGGATTTACTCCAGTCCCTGGCCCTGCAATTCAAAGGCCCAGTATGAGTCCAATGCAACCTCCAAGCCCTAATCAAGCACCAGTAATCCATCCAGTAGCTCCTGCTGCTGCTCCACCCACAGTGCAGACAGTCGACACTTCTAATGTCCCTGGTATGCTTTCATGCCACTTTTCCCTAAAATATTACCAGTAGACTTACCCTTGGAACATCTTTTTTGTTGTTAAATTAATTTACAACGCTCGGTGATTTATTAATTGCTTTCTTTTCTTTCACCAAGTTAACTAGTTGGGTTTTTTGATACTCGCCCAAGCTCTGGTTCTCTTTAATCGTCTTTACTCAATGCTAATAGTTGATTGTGTGGGTTTTGTGCTACAGTGGAGCATAAGGCTGTTGTTACCACTTTGACAAGACTCTTCAATGAGACATCTGAAGCATTGGGAGGGTCAAGGGCAAATCCAGCTAAGAAACGTGAGATTGAAGATAATTCGAAGAGGTTAGGGGCGTTATTTGCTAAGCTCAACAGAAAAGATATATCTACGAGTGCTGCAGAAAAGCTTGTACAGCTCTGTCGAGCATTGGACAACCGTGACTTTGGTACTGCCCTTCAGATTCAGGTACCTATCTGTTCGATTTGTCCTTCCTTTGAGTTGGTCCAGTTTGAATCTGAAACCATTATTGTCAATTTATACTTGAATAGGTGCAACTAACCACCAGTGATTGGGACGAGTGCGACTTTTGGCTAGCAACGCTGAAGCGAATGATCAAAACGAGGCAAAGCTTCAGGTAGAAGTGATGTGCTCCAGCCTCAAATATGATCTAGAGTAGTTTTCTTTTAAACTTTTCTAAATGGTCGGTTTAAGTTTGTTTGCATGATTTGTAACCATCAGGGCGTTTCTTTTGTCATCAGCTTTTTTTAGCTTTTAGCGCAATTTCTGTCTCCTTCCCTTTTAGTGTTTTCAGTTTTAAAGAGGTTGGAATATATACAGTTCACACATATGGTTGCTGCTGATTATATTTTTTATTCACCATCAAAATGGTAAATAGAAAACCCACGACTACTTTCTTATGTTTTTTAATTCATACAAGTACTTCTGCTGTAATTCTTGACAGACGTTCAATTTATGAGCTAAATAAATGTTAGGATGGACGTGTCGAGTTATCTATTTTAATTAAAAGGAATTGCCAGTAAGTTCACAAATAGGATGTGTGTTTATTTTCCAAATGAGGATTGAGGACTAAAACAGGCTGTAATAAAATAAGAAAAAATAAAAGCAGTTAAAACGTTTAAAATAAGTCATAGTTAAAGTAAATGCCAAACTATACTGATTTGTAGTTACAGCCAGCCAAAAACAAAAAACAAAAAATGATCCTATTTGAAAATTGGATTATATTTTCTTCCTACGAGTGAAATTTTCTCATTAATGAATACGGAGTATTATGTTCAAAATAGGGCAGACCGAGCCCAGACCATCATAATTTTCATTTTTACGGTGGGATCATATTTTCACCTCAAATTAGTGATGGACCCGGGCCGGTTTAGGCTTGGGCCCAGCCGGGCTTTTTTTGGGAAGGGAGAACCGGAACCGACCCCCCTCACCCTTCACCCCCCACCCCCCAAAACACTCCAAAACACCCAACTTAACCCGGGAGATACCAAAAGAATTGAAAAAAAAAAAAAGAAATAGGCCCGGCCCGACGGCCCCGACCGGGCCGGTTCCACTTTTAGGAGGCCTGAACCCGCCCCCTTTTATTCCCGATTCGGGTGGCCCGGACCGGTCCTATGACCGGGTTCCGGGCCGGGCCGGGCCCAAGCAGTACGGTTCCGGGCCGGGTGGCCTGACCCGAGTCCATCATTACCTCAAATAAGCATTCCCTTTTTATGGCATGACTACATGAGTCAATGAGTGCCCGTACCATTTTGACACGGAGCCTGAAGATAATGACGAGGTAAACTTTTAGTGGCCCTCTAAAGGGATTTAGTGCCCTCAGAGAACTTTTGTTTCTAGATTCAAACCCATTGAACACAATGGTGAATCCAGGCATTGGAGCTCAGGGTATGCACATATATATAGTATGTAGTAGTTAAAAAAAAATTACGACGCTACATTACACCGACAACACGAACCAACTTCATTATTATTACACCACGACTTTTCCTCCTTCGTCTCTTAAAACTTTATCATATTTGAATCTTTTGGTTAATGAAATTAAACTTTGACCTATAAATTTTTATTAGAAATTATTTATAAAATAAAAACTGATTATATTATAAAAAGTATATGTACAAAAACATTATACTCCGTACATCAGGATGTATACAATACAAAAGATATCTAAATGATGGATTAATAGTAGTGAAAGACGAAATTTAAAAAGTCCTACATGATTCGTATTCACTTCGTGATTCAATAGAGAGAAAAATAATATGGAGAAAAACACATTCAAGTTTGCTAAAAATACTGATGTAGAGAAAAAAGAGGACTGATGCCCAATTACTTAAAAATAGCTTTAAAGGTTGAAATTGGATGGAGGACAAAGCAAAAGGCCGGGGGATGCTCAATGCTCCGCTGGACTTAGAGGGATTCAAAATTAAATTCAAATATTTGGGCTTAACTAGGCCTACAATGTAGGAATTAAGGGTGTTAAAAAAAATCGAAGTGATGTACTTTGAAGAGAATCGAACAAGGGACGTGTAGCATCTAGGATCCTTTTAAGGGATTGCTCTACCACTTAGGCAAATAACAACTTTTGAGGTGTAGCCTGTGCTAACCCTCAATATACTATAGGTCCTGGGTTCCTGGCCATTTCCTTTCCTGATCATCTCTACTGATGGACAATAGGGAAAGTTACAAGGAAATGGAATGCTTGAAACATCTTACTTCCACTGGCATACATAAGTTGTTTGCTAATAATACTTGCAAATTGCAATGGTCGTTCTGTGGTGGACCCTCACTATGTGGGAAGACTTTGTACACCAGAACGCCCCCTATATGTACATACCTAAACTGAAACTCTTCTTATTTTACCGAATATAAGAATGAAATGGCACTTCCAGCTTTACAACAGTGCTAGCTTACAGACTGTATACTATATATGTGTATCCCCTGTGCATTTCCAACCACTAAAACTACATGAATCAAGAACTTCTATGCTCTTCCCAGGAGCTTCGGGACATTAATCTTGAACAGCGAATCAACATACGAACGAAACCTCTCCCACGGTGAAGCTGTTGATCCATAGAATTGTACATTGACCGCCTTCTTGTGTCCTCCTCGAATAAACTCCACCTCCCTGGAAGTGTCAAAGGCAGCACGCTCTGGGTTATCCAGCAGAGGCAATGCCACTGAACCCTTAGATTCCAGGCTTCTAATCCATCCTTTCAAAAGAAAATTCACAACCTGGTGCATATGCACGAAGCAAATTTAGAGGCTTTCCTTCTATTTAATTTATTTATCAAGAAAGGTGATGATGGAATGTAATAACCTAATGAGAGTAATACCTCAGGGACTTCATCATGGGGGCAGTGGCCTGCAGGGCTAATCTCATAATATGCAGCTTCAGGCATTTTCCCCTTAATGCGAAACCCCCAGAATGGAGTCACCCATGGATCTTCCTTCCCATAAACTAGACACAAGGGCAGCTTGTTTTCTTGACACCTATAATAGTACACGAGCAGACGTTTAGAGTATGGTTGGAATGTGGAAAATGCTAGGGAAAGGAAAAAGTGTTCATGATTTTTTTTTATTTGCTTTGACCTCGAACTTTAAGTAAAAAATGTGGAATACTACCCCCGTCCCCCTAACTTTAAGCAAATCAAATTTGAATAGAACTTCTAAAAAAAATCATATGTTTTTTTGAGTTTGCCTCCTTTTTCTAATACTACGTAATATTTTTTCCTTCCAAATTTACCGTCTATTCTGCCCTGTTTTCTTTTCCTACCGTATCCCGAGTTCCCCATGGATCCTCATGAGTGAGAGAGAATTAACATTTATTTTGAAGGAATCATATGAAAGGTAAATAGTAACGTAATTACTTGCACTACATACCGAGAGAGAGCTTCTCCAAATGATAGTTGACTCCCAGGAGCGAACATCATCGAAGCTAAGGATGCAGCTGCAGCAGGATGCTTTGTTGTTTCAATTATATTTGAAAACACCTCATCCACGTCTATAGAGTGGTCTGCATAAACCTGCTTAAGAATCTCTGCTACACTTTCAGGATCACTAATTTTCTGCCATCTAAATAATCAGTAGATAGTTCAAGTCAATACCAGAATCTAAGAACAGAAATTTCTCCTAGTAACTGTAAAAATTCAATTACAGACTTTCATTTCATCTATAGCTATGGCGTGTCCAATGATCACCACTCCATTATTGAATAAAGATACCGAGACAAAATCAACACAGAGAAAAGAAAACATGAGAAGGCAATGAAATGAATCAAAATATAATACTTACAAAAGCTTCATGACATTTCTAATAGACATTGGAAGAGGAAACGTCCCAGTCCATGGAAATATTCTCGACAGTTTTGGAGATTTAATAGGATTAGGCAGAAAACACCAAAAAGGTGCCGCATTTAGCAATGTAACACCTTTTACCAATTCAGGGTAGCATGCTGCAAAGTAAAGTGCAACAAACCCCCCTAGCGAATTTCCCACAACATAAACTGGCTCTTTAATAACCTGCATTGTTGAAAAACGACTTGAACTATTTAGATATAGAGTAAGATTGTGTCCCGACCCCATTCACTTTATCAACTACATATATCCCAACTATCATCAAATTCACAAATCAATCGTATTCTTTCACTTTTATTTAAAAGGACCCATACTTCAACTTTTCTCACAATTATACTTTCAATGAATGAATTAGTAATACTCATGGTTTTAAAAATCGGCCTAGACGCTGCCTAGTCGCTAGGCGGTGGCCGGGCCCTCCAATTTTGTGGTATTTGGTGGAAAAATTCGGTTAGCCGCCTAAACGAGCTAGGCGGCTGACTATGCAGTTAGCCACTGGCCCGAACTAAATTTGTTCCTAATCCAACTTATTTTTTCCGTTTTGTCTTGACACTGATTAATAAGTATTTTCTATAAAATTAACTATGATATTCCCACAACAAAAAATAATTTTTGAAAGTATATAAACTTTTTAGAATGTACATGAACAATTTTAGAGACTAAAAAGCACAAATCTATTAATTATTTTATTTTTGAGAATTTTACTACAAAAACCATAACATTTAATAATTATGTGAGCTATATCTATTGTCAAAATATTATAAAATTATTAGTAAAGATTTTTGAAATTCATGGGAAATGGAAAAAATACAGAGGAAATGCTTAAGCGCCCTAGTCAACTTTTGGTGAAGTTTTCACATACAAGTGATACAACTACTCCCTCCGTCCCTATTATATCTTCCAAATAGGTTTGGCACAGAGTTTAAGATAGTGGGTATTGTGTGGTGGAGAGTTGTGCAGAGGAGAGAGAAATGTGTAAGAATTGCTGTGAACCACAAATTCTGGTCAAAAAGGGAAAGTGGAAGTTTTAATTGTGACGGACGAAAAAGGAAAGTTGGAAGTTTATTTAGGGACGGAGGGAGTATATAGAAATCATTTATTTCATTTTCATTTACCCCAGTGCCGCAAAGGCTCCCACCTACGGTGGGTAAGGGGGGGTCGGATGTACGCAGTCTTACCCCTGTACTAAAGCGCAGAGAGATTGTTTCCGGATGACCCATAGTGAAAATCGCGTCCAAAATTGCATGGAGATTGACTGTTGCTTCATAACAAAGAAGCGCGGACAGTTTAGTGAGCCATTTTGCTTTATTCCATCATATTCTCAAGCCAAAAAATAATGAATCTTTGGCTCCATTGCAAATGATGGAAAAGATACAACTATATAGAAATAGTTCAAAATTTTCAAGAAAAAAAATAAATTATACTACTCCCTTCGTCCCTAAAAGAAGTTCCATTTCGCTTTTCGAGAGTCAACTTAAATCACTCTTAAACTCTTACTTTATACGAAGTATATCAAAATTTTATGAAAATTGAATTATTTTTTGGAGGCTTGGTAGCGGTTTTAATGTAGTTTCTGAATATGTAAATTTTATTTACTAAAAATTATTTGAGTTTTCACGGGTAT